TTGAGTCTCTCTGAAGATAAACAACAAGATATTATTGTCGCATTTTATAATACTTCCAGATACCTTGATGACATTTTTGATTTAGATAATTCTTTTTTTGATCAAATGGTGTCGGACATTTATCCGCATGAACTACAACTTAATAAAACGAACTCTTGAAATTTTAGTACATCATTTTTGGATCTTCATATAACTATCAACAACAATTCTTTTAACATGAAAATCTATGATAAAAGAGATGACTTTGACTTTTGTATAGTTAATTATCCACATTTAGATGGAGACGTACCCCATGCAACATCTTACGGGGTATATGTTTCTCAGTTAATTAGATTCGCTAGAGCTTGTAGCAACGTAAAGGATTTCAACGAGCGGAAAATTTTTATTGCCAGCAAGCTTCTTAAACAGGGCTACCGCTATCATAAATTACGGAAATATTTTACTAAATTTTACAATCGTAACTTTGATTTAATTTCTAAATTCAATAGTGATTTAAAAACTCTTCTGCGACAAGGGATTAGCCAGTCTGGTTTTTATGGCGATGTGATTTACAAACTTCGTAAGATTTTGGGTCAGGGTAATTTTTTCTGCTGTTTTTACTAAAATCATTAAACGTTTTATTGAAAGAGGTTATGACCCTTCTATTTTAAGACATACTGCATGTTTATTGTTCAACCCTTTTACAGTTGGACACTACGCTTTCCTCTTTTGATGACATGCACATCTGACGGACCAAGTGAGAAACTCTATGATGGACAGTTCTTAAAGCCCTTTGGGACTGAATGGTTTTAATGTTCGTCTTCTGCCTTGCTTCGTCGGGTCCTTTTAGGTGATTTTATTGTTCCTCTGTCTTCCTTTAAGACATTAAGTACCTTTATTGTGGTCATTGGGTTTACTTTTATATGTTTCTACATGATCATTTTGGTGATTTACTTATTTAACCTTTTGTAACCATAACAACTGTTAGAATTTCACTTGGCGGGGATTCAATTTATTTACACTGTCTCGTTTATAGGAACATGGTGGGGCTAAGAGCGAGGTTTGGTAAACCATTAACCGGTTTAAACTCCCCAGCAGTCATTATTATGCTGCTGACCGTTCCAAGGCGGTGCCCCGCTGTGTTCCTTAGATGTATGTCTATGTTGTTTCATACTGTTTTGGTGACACTTTTGCTTGTGTCCCTTGTTGTTTTCTCGTCTACGGTAAGTATCTTCCCCCTTCACCCCTAGTTTTTATTTCTTTTATTAACCCCCCCCCCCTTTCCCCGGTCTCCTGTCCCCTTCCCTGTGCCCTTTGACTTTGTGGGCCTGTTGTTCAATCATTTATTTGTTTTCTTTTAATTCCTAATCAGTAACAAATTATTTATCATTTAGTGATTAAACTGTCCATGCTGACTTGTGCCCTGTCCTGTTTTTGTTTGGGGTCCGCCTGGGCTCCTTGCCACTAGTTCTTGTTGCTGGGTCATATGGGGGTTGCGTTCATTGAACGCCGCCTTTCCTTGTTGATCTTGTTTACCATATTTTTTTCTTAATGGATTCTGTTTTTCTATATTTTATTTATCTTATCTTTAAGATTGAACAGGTAGACGTGTTGTTTCCTTCTTTCGTCGACAAAGTGTCAGTTTCCGTACTCACTGCTGTCTGATTTATAGTCTCTGAATTCTTAACTTTTGGTTATGTATACTTATAATGAAATTATTGATTATGAATGCAAATGTGATGGCCTTTGTAGGTTTCCGTTTATAACAAATCGTAACACACAAGTTGTGGTCTGACACAAGGAAGTTTGAAAAATAATTTGTCTTTATATCATTCTGAAAATCTATAATTCAAAAGAATCGGGTATTTTGTTTTGTCTTTACCTTATTGATATATAAAAGATATATAGATTTAAATAATAATGTAATATCGTTACAACTGCAATCAAATATTGTAAGTTGAATTATAATCTTTCAAAATGGAATTGAGTGATATAGAAATGGACACAAGTAGATCAAATAATGAGATTGTATATGAGAACTTAAAGATTTCGGCCGAAAGTTCCGCTACCAAATCACAGTCAAAGAAAATTGAAGAGGAACATTATGAGACATTAAAATTTGGTGATTCTCATAAAAGAAAATTTGAAAGTGGAGATGGCGACACTGTTAAGCGACTGAAATATGTGATATATGTATTGATAGTGTTGATGAGTGTTGTTTACATCATTCTCGTCACGTTGGTCCTTGTACTGTTCGTTCCGAAAGAACCAGGTATTTTATATTTTATTTGTATTTTATATTTGTAGCAGTGTCACAAATATCAAAAGCTTAAACAATTTATGAAATAATTGCAATAATTTTTAATTTATGCTTACTGAAGTGTTTTTTTTTTATCTAGCTGTTTACATTGAATACATTTTTATTATTACACAAATCAAGCCGACGGTCGTTGGGCACAATGGTCAAGCTGGACCTCCTGTGACGTAACGTGTGGTAACGGAACACAACTACGAACGAGAACATGCACGAATCCAGTGCCTGCGAATAAGGGAAGTTACTGTATTGGAGAAAGTTTGCAGAGCAGTGAATGCTCAAAAGACAACTGTCCAGGTGTTAACTTTAAATTATTTTATATATAAACTAAACGAATTTCGAGACAAAGAAATATAATCATATTATTTAAACTCTCTTTGCCTGGGTAGTTTAAAAGACTTCTACTACTGTACTGTATTTAAAAAAATAATATATCCCAAACAGTGGTTTTATCGCTCAATAACATTGGCCAGTGTTTGGAGTTCGGATGCGTGGAATTATATCACGAGGACGTAATCCAAGTGATATAATGATGCGCATCCGAACGACAAACAGTGATGTTATCAAGCGATAAAATCACCGTTTGAATATATTATTTCGATTCTAATACGATATCAACAATTAATTACTGCCGTGCCTGATATTAAACTAAATTGGGCCTGATTTATTTCCGTACTTATTTTCAGCGCGTCGCATCTTTGGTGTTTACCTCACATGTATAATGATTACATCATATGTCTTATTATATATAGAGTTCTTATATATTCAATAGAGAAAAATTCGGGTCGTACTTTAAGTAATCAGTACACATACAAAAGTCTTTAGTTCAAGTTGCGTTGTGGTATTTTTGTGTGTTTTTTGTTGTTGTTTTTTAATGTTTTATTTCAACATTACAAATTGTAATTCTTATTTTAAAATATATCCTGTATCTATGAAACTCACTTAAAATTTATTGTGTGTCTTTGAATAAAATTTGCTTTTTTTCTATTGTGAAATTCAAAATTAAGATATTTTGATACTGTAGTGATTATAAAACATTAAGTCTGCCACTTTCGTTCCATTCCATATGAAACGGCATATTGCCCCAATGTAAAAGAATTTGTGTGTTTTGAACGAGAAAACAATGAGTGGAATAATCAAAATTATCTATATTAAAGTCTCGCAACGCACGTACACACACACACACACACACACACACACACACACACACACACACACACACGCGCGCACAACTTTCTCTCTCGCAATAATATGAAAATATTTTAAATTTTGGGAATCAAAAGCACATTCTAGTTAAACATATAATATATTAGTCGATGGTCAATGGTCACACTGGCTAAGCTGGACCTCTTGTGATGTCACGTGTGGACAAGGAACTCGTCTACGTCCTAGAACATGTACAAATCCAGTTCCAGCGAACAATGGACTCGCTTGTACGGGAGAGAATTTACAAACTACTGAATGCTCAAAAGTCAGCTGCCCAGGTCATTTCTTTTTACAATGATATCATTATATGATATAATACATTTTGTATTTACATTTCAATGATAAATATGCAGTCAATTTAGCTATACTTTTCAGTCTTCGTGATCTCTTTTAACAAAAGTTTTTGAAACATGTCGCACTAATGAAGTAGAATTGCAAACTTCTATTTACGCCTGGTAATTGTAAGTTTTTTTGTATCTCTAATAACTTCTTAAATAGTACTGAAACAACATATACAAAGCTTGAAAATTGATGGTCATATTGGAATACAGCCACTTTGATTTTGTTCTGAGCTGTATTTATTCTGATTTATTTATATCTTAACACACTTCTTTTTCATTATAATTAAAATCCAGTCGACGGTCGTTGGGCTCAATGGTCGAGCTGGAACTCATGTGACGTGACATGTGGTAATGGAAAACAACTACGGTTAAGAACATGTACAAATCCAGTGCCTATAAATAATGGAAATGACTGTATTGGAGAAAATTTGCAGAGCAGTGAATGCTCAAAAGACAAATGTCCAGGTTTCATTCTTTAAATTTAGTTTATACAGAAAAACAAAGTAACTACATGACATAGGTAGATAATTACTTCAACTTTTAATGTCATCATTTCTGAAGAAAATGAAAAATTGATCATACTGATAAATTGTTTATCCACACTTGCACAAACAAAAACGTTTTGTTCCTAAGCATTCAGAAGGTAAAGACAACTTTATTTGTATCAATTACATTCTTGCCATGATGATTTCTAAAATATACGCTGCAATTTCAATAATTAGCAATAACAAATGTACATTAGTCATTATTGAATATAGCTTTAGCCAAGACATTTATGATTCGAACGTTTCAAGTCAAATGTCAAGCAAAGTAACATCTACCAAAAGATTGGCAAATGTATAATTAGCTTATTTCTTTATGCAACAAAATTGTTTCTCCTTCAGGTAGTTGAGTCAATGCATATCAGTATGTAGTCGTTCATAATACAGTAACAAATTATACCATTTATTTCGAATAATATCATGTATCTTTAAAATAAGATTTTGAAAAAGTAATGAGGTTTTTTTCCTTTTCATGAAACTCGATTTGGGTAAAACCTTTGAGTTAAAGAGTTCAAATATTTATTGTAAACGTTTCAAAACAATATGTATTATTTATAGACAATATATTAGAATTCGCAAACTATATGAACTTATTCTATAAACAAAGATATATTTCAGTCGATGGTCAATGGGCACATTGGTCAAACTGGACTTCATGTGATGTCACGTGTGGAAAAGGAACTCATCAACGTTCGAGATCATGTACAAATCCAGTTCCAGCAAATAATGTACCCAGTTGTACAGGAGAGAATACACAAACCGCTGAATGCTCAAATGACAACTGCCCAGGTCATTATATGATCCAATATAGATATAATGATAAGGAAAATTTCAACCGTAGATAATCTTTACTTCTTTTTTTACACAAATATGTGTAAAATATTTTTTTAATTTGAAATGCTAAACAATTCTTTTGGTTAATTGAGGAAGTTTGTTGACTTTAAAATACTTAATATCATCGCTAAATGTTTGAATTTCTTCGGAGACTTTTGATTTTTCATGTGAGGAAACTATTATCTGATAAGCTAACAGAACATCGGTGGTTCAACTTAGGTGCTCGATCGTGCCTGAAATAATATACGTAAAGTCGCAATGTGATCTATACAGCTTTGGCGAACAATAAAAACTATTCCAATATCATCATGTCTAAATAACCATGCAATTACGGTGTTGAAATTGTTTTCTTGCCAAGATAATGTCTCATATTTGAAATACGTTTAGTGAATGATATTAAGTTAACGTATAAGGCAGATAGTTTTTCAAATACATATGTTGTGACTGATGCACTTTAACCCGACACTTAATTTTTTCGGTATAAATTGATTATTTGTGGACAGATTGTGTCCAACTTTGGACCATAAAACAATTCAATATATCATTCTTATAACTTAAATCTTTATTTACAATTCATTGGCAAGAAAATAGAGACATAACAAAACAAATATGCTACTGCAAAATGAAAAATCACAAAATGTGTGTAAATATCTTAACAAAATAAAAAGCATCTGAATCCCACTTAACATGTATGTTAACCAGTTCTAATACTTTGCGTGTCCTCCAATGGCTATACCAACGTGTAAACACCTGTCTCATGTTAATTGCGTAGTTTCTCATGAACAATTGGGGAGAATATTTCTCCATTATTGAATAAGGGCTTCCAAGTCACCAGATCTAAACATCACACCTGTCGGCTGAATTGAACAGACTTGTGAGAAAGCGACCAGAAGCCCCTCGCAATTGGCTGGGACTCGAGCAAGCCCTTGTTTAGGAATAGAGAACTATTAGGCCGAGGTGGTTGCGTTGTTATAGCCAATTATGAGGACATACAAAGTGTTAGAACTGGTTAACAGACAGATTTAGTGGGATTCTAAGAGTTTTCATTTTTTAGGATTTTACAGTCACTCTGTGATTTTTCATTTCACAGTAGCCTATTTGTTTTGTTTTTTTCTATTTTCTTATCGATGAATCGTAAATATGATTCTAAGTAGTAAATCTGATATGTTGATTGTTTTTATAATTCCAATTTGAACAAAGTCCGTCTTATACTGAAAAATGTAAGTGTCGGGTTGTAAGTGTATAATGATGACACAGAATAGACTAGGTTATGCAAGCATTTCTTATACATAGAAAGAGTTCAATGACGAGTGAAAGTAATTCAAGGGCATGCATCTGATAGTCATGAAAGACAAAAATGGGTGTCACAATTTTTACATTTTTCTGCTGTACATATACTATACAATATACACTGTCTTATTTAGAAAAGCAACGTATGTGGTTATATTTAAAAAGCCAAAAAAACTGCATTAAATTTTTTTGGGAAGGCTTATATTGATTACCTGGATACTGGACAAACTCATTAATTGAACGACATAAATCGTTGTAAGTTGCAACTAATAACAAGGGAGTGACGAACCATCCCGTCTTCACTCCATTTGCCATGATAATATACGAATCATCGTCTATGCTATTTTTCTTATTATTATGACTGGCAACTTTAATTTTGATAGGCTACATACGGTGTACATGTAAATGATAAACATTCAGTCAGTACAGCTGTACATTTGATTCTTTATGATCTCTTACTCTCAACAAAAGTTCATGAAAAATGTTGCAATAATAAATTGAAAACTTTTATTAACGCTTGTTATTGGTAAGTTGTTTTATAACAACTTTATAAATAGTACTGATCCAAATATACAAAGCTTATTAACTGATGTTGATACGGGAATTTATTCACTTCAGTTTTGTTCCAAGCTGTATTAATTTTATTTATTAAGATCTAAACACTCTACTTTTTAATTACTATTAAAATTCAGTCGACGGCCGTTGGGCTCAATGGTCAAGTTGGACATTGTGTGACGTAACATGCGGTAATGGAAAGCATCTACGGTTAAGAACATGTACAAATCCAGTGCCCATGAATAAGGGGAGTTACTGTATTGGAGAAAGGTTGCAGAGCAGTGAATGCTCAAAAGAGAACTGTCCAGGTTATTTCTTTACTTATTTTATAAAAAAGAGCATTTCGACAGGACATAGAAATACACACACCGCATTTTTTCTGAGGTACTATCAAAATTAATTCATCTGATGTACTCTTTTTTCTCACTTGCTTACACATACTCGTTGTGTTTCAAAATTTGCAACGGGTAAAAACAACTTATTATGTATTCATGATAATATTTTAAAGATACGCAAACAATTGTGACAAATTTATTGTCAATTTTAAAAATATTATCAATAAATATTCTTTATAGTTTTGGCCAAGACATATATTCATTATTTGAACGTTTCAAATCAGCATGTCAAGTTAAACACCATCTTGCAGGAAATTGGCAATGCGTGATTAACTAATATTTCTTGCTCTTTTGCACAATAAAACGGACGCAGTAAAGTTGTTCCACAACAGTTTTAAGGCAATACATATCCATATTAAGTTGTTGTTTTGTTTAATTTACTTTTCTATAAGACACTTCTTATTCAATCGTATCATGCATCTTTGAAAGGTAGGTTAGCAGATCTTGTATAATCATTATACTACTTTACTTAACATAGACTCGGACTATAAGCTTAATACTTCATAATAATTGTGAAAACCTCATGAACATGCCATGAAATTCAAGTAGAAATAAAATAATTACATTGTTAACATTGACATAGATTGTTTCCAGTCAATGGTCAATGGGCACATTGGTCCAGCTGGACGTCATGTGACGTCACATGTGGAAAAGGAACTCGTCAACGTTCGAGAACATGTAAAAATCCAGTTCCAGCTAATGGTGGACTCGAGTGTACAGGAGCGACAATAGAAACTGATGAATGTTCCAAAGACGCATGTCCAGGTCGTTGCATAGTACAATATAAAGGAATAAATAGTAGAATTTCAAATTCAACCTTCGAATAATTTTAACACAATTAGAAGTAAAATCTTTTTAGATTTTTTTTAAATGAAATTCTTATGTAATACATGTCATTCGGTTAATTTTTATTATTCTTTATAAAATCGAGATAATCATACAATAACGGCGTCAAATTCAATATTCCATTAATTACATAGAGGATATTTGTTTGTTTTGCATGTAAGATTAAAATATAGTTTCACTGAGTGAACACAAGATGCAATATTTTCACGAGTGGCGTAGCCACGAGTGAAAATATAATAGCTGGTGTTCACGAATGAAATATATTTAAAACTTATATGTAAAACAAATAAATTTTCTTTTTATTTCATGCTTTTATAGTGATTTTAGGTAATTTTTTTTACTGATTTTGCCGTGTAACGTCGCGCATTCTCCTTTGTGACGTCAGATCACATCATGACGTCACATCATCAATTTTGAAACATAGTTCTGTTAAATTTCTCTAATTTTGTCACATTTTAACATGATGTCTGGTGACATCGACTTTCTTTTCCTTAAGAAGCAAAATTTACGTGTGACGGCATTTATTTCTGCCTGTTATTCCATTTCGTTATGATTTTATTTTCATCCGCATTCAGATATAGTCCGGCTACAGTGAAAATTATATTTTATAAATATCACTAGTGGTTTATCAGAATATAATCATCTGATATATTACAATAAAACACTGGAAAGCATGAAATAAATGCATATCAAACGTAAGGCATTGATGAAAAGTATTTATTAACATCCGCCGATAAAATTTGAAAAGGGATATTGAAATCGCGTTATCCTTCCGTACTTACCTTAGAAACCATATATCAAAACAGGTTGGTCAAATTTTTTATAAGAAAGAAAACTGTAATGAATGTAATCAATGTAGAAATGAGGCTGATCAACAGAATCTCGTAACTTGGTTTAAGGAAAATGTCTATCTTCAGTCTTTTTCTGCCACTAGTTTGTTAGATTTACATGATACTCAACAAGTATGAATATTGTCAAAAGAAATAATGATAATCAAATACTATCAAAAAAAGTTGTGCATTTAATTATGGCCATTTTAAACTTGCAAATGTGCATTTTGCGTTGGCTATTCTCATTTTTAGTCTGTTAGATTTTAGTAGATCTGTCCTTGCAAGCATTTTTAATTCAATCACGACGCGATTCATATTAATTTTCGTATTAGTTCATTTATGTTTAATTAATTTTCAAGCAAATTGAATAAGCTAAATACGTTCAACTCAACACAAATGTATGTCGCAAAACTTGTAAAGAGTATGAATTTGCATCAAACATTTTCATTACTTCAAGTCGATGGTCAATGGGCAAATTGGTCAAGTTGGACATCATGTGACGTGACATGTGGAAATGGAAGACAACTACGGACAAGGAGATGTACGAATCCAATGCCCGAGAATAAAGGGAAGGACTGTTTTGGAGAGGGTTTACAGACTAGTCAATGCTCAAAAGGAAACTGCCCAAGTAGTTATTCATAGATTACATATTGAACAGTTTAAATACATTTGGACTTTATACCAATTTAAAAGCGATTTCCAATTAATAGTTTTTTAGTTTTTCAGTTTTGTAGACAGGTATACATTTAATTTCTAGTGGTGCTTGGTGTCTTTTGAAGTTTCATGTTTTCCTATAAAATCGTTTGTTCATAAGTAATAATAAATGTCATTTTTTTGCTCTTATATCAGTGTGCACCTTTTACATTAATCTTTAAAACCATCTCTTGTTATGTTTTATTACCTTAGTAGAGCACCACTTTAACAGTTTTTTTTCATTATACTCTATGTATTACATTTAATATATATGTTTGTTTAAGACTATTTATTGTTGCCAACACTATATATGTGTTATATATTTTCAGCATTGAAGTCTGCATTTTCTGTCAAAAGTCCAAATACTATCAGCAACATCAATGGAATTGAGAAACTGACCTTTTCAAGTACCATTTACCAGTATGGAAATGATTTTAATATCTCGACAGGAACTTACACCTGTAACAAATCCGGTGTTTACCATTTTTCTGTTACGTTGGTAAAGAAACGAGAATCTTCAAGAGTTGATTTCGTTCAGTGTTTACTTTACAAGAATAGACAGTCTCTGATCAATATAGTAGTTGATCCAACTGATGATGATACAGACAAAGGTCATGCTGCTATATCACAGTCTATCGTGATTAATCTTGATGTTGGGGACACTGTGTACCTTACTGGATGCACCAATCCAAGCACAACCATGGAATCTTGGTCTTCGTTTACTGGATTTCTCCTATATGACAACAATTGATTTTTTTGATTTTTTCGGAAAAAAATTGTTCTTAACTAAATCCGTTCTTTCGAATAATCTTATTTCCAATACAGTGTTTTGAAAATAACAATGTTTGTCTATGGTTGTAAAAAATATATATTTAGTGATGACATTAAAAGCGATTTTGCTTAACATACGAATTCATCCTGTTATGGAATTAAAGCCACTCATCGGATTTTTAGATGGGTTTTTTTTGTATATCAAGTTGTTTCAACTAAGACGTTGATGCTTAGTAACGCATTTATAAAGATTTGCAGTGCTTGTAAATAACATTGTTTTCTGATTTTTTTTCTTTTGCTGAGTGCAACAGAATCAGGGAGAGGGTATTCTTGTTTTTATTAAACTGATAAGAATGCATTGTTGACATAAGATTGCTACTCACTAAATATGTTTCTGATAATGTTATTAAATGTCATGTCTATTCATGAAATAAATAAATTTGTGTACAATACTTAGTATTCAATTACAGAATAAAGTTTTTAGTAGTTAACAAATTAGCAGTTATTATTAAGTTATAAATATGATACATCTAAAGACCGGTGCATGAATTTCCGATTTCTTCGTAAATTCACAATTCTAACTCTTCAACTTACGGAATTCACGAATTCAACTTCATGAATTCACTGTTTTAACTTCACGAATTCACGAAATCAACTTCATGAATTCATGTTTTCAACTTCCCGATTTCAAGATTTCATCTTCACGAAGCTGAAATTGTGAATTCATGAAATTAAAATAGTGAATTAATGGAGTTGAATTCCTGACTTCAGATTAAATCCTGAATTCATGAAGTTTAAATCTTGAATCACAAGTTAAACTCGTATATTCTATATGTTGAAATTAAGAATTCTGTATGTCGAAATCGTAAATTTATGAAGTTAAAATTATGAATTCGAGAAATTGAACCCGAGAACTCTTTCGTATTATACTGCAGTACTTTTTGCAGCAGTTTCATTTTCAGTAAATGGACATGTTATATATATTTAGTTACCATGACAGCATTGACACACTAACCTTGACATTGGAGCCACTGACGTATCATGGTTACCTCAGTTGTCATGCTGGGTGTCTTCATGGAATTGTCGTCTTTCTCATAAACTTTACTGGATTGCACTTCCATTATAGCATATAATGTTTTGAGTTTTGAAAATTTGTAATAGATTTGTTACATAAGATTAAATATAGATTAAATAATTTCTTTTCTTTACAAGCTGATATTCTATTAACAACTATGTGTATTGGTAGAGCATAAGATTGTATATTCAGCTATTACCTTGTTTATGGTATCTTATTATATATTTAAATAGCAGTTTAACATGCAATATTTGAACACTAACTCTGACTGATATTTTACTGACGAAAGTGATGGTTACTCTCCTTGTTTATTCAGAAAATAACTAGAACACTCATCGTATAGAAGTCCTGAACCTATCGAAACATTTATTTGTCAATGTTCTTTTATTATTCAGGTCCCAGTGTTCTTTTATTATTCAGGCCCCAATGTTCTTTTCTTATCCAGGCTCCATGTTCACCAAATAGGACCAAACGTCCTGATTATATTGAAACCAACATTGGTCACATCGGGCTTAAATTTTATAGTACATGAAAAAACGTTGAACAGGTAAGTGTTTGTTAGCAAACGTTAATGAATTTAAATCTGTCTGAAGCGACACAGTCGCGCGACAGATTTAATGGAGTTAATGACAATATAACAAAAACACTTGGTTGAAATTAACAAAGCTAGAGTACGACACGCTGATTTAACGATGTAGTATTAAATGAAAAGTTGGTGCAGATTTAAAGAATTAAATCACTGTATCAAAGACTATGAAAATAAAAACGATTTGGTTGGATAAATTATTATTTCAACCCATAGTTTTAGATAAAATTTATTGCTGATATATAGAAACATAACACTGCAAAATATAAGGATAATTCATTTAAAGTAAGGATCAAATTTAGGATCAAGCACAAAATTTCGATCAACTTGTAAAGTTATGATATTTCTATTTTTCTAAACTTCCATTAAGATGCTAGTTAGTTCCACAGGCAGTTGGTGTGTATTTCTTTTAATTTCATCCATATATATACTTTGAATAATTTGTAGAATATATGGATGAAATTAAAAGCAAGCACCGACTGCCTGTGGTTAATCAACATTAATCAAATTTATTAGATTTTTAGTGGTACCAGTATATTGCGGACTAACAACAGTTTATTCAGTTCATGTAATATGAAAATGCTTTTTTTACTTTAAAACACCTGAATAAGAAGAATGGCTGTTTAAATAACCAATGTAGACATGTTATGTATTTGAAAAGTGAATCGAATTTACTGGAATCCTGGGATGGAAAGTTCCAAATTCAAGCATTTATTAATTTAATATCAAATTAATTTGATAGGTAATATCTGAGTAACCGTTGGTTTGTGTGCTTGTTGTGTAATGTTTTCTTGATATTTGTTTTATATTACTATTATTTATTATATATTATTTTATTTAAGGCACATTATGGCCAAAAAATGTTTTAATTCTCATTTCTTAAAATCTTTCTATTTTTGGTGTACTTCTATAGTTTCCAAAACGTTACTCACCTGCCATCTTCTTTCTTCTGTTGATTTTTAGCCAAAAGTACAGTTAAAGTGATTTAATATTTTATATCGAAGTCAAAATACTACTTTGTTAACACTTTCTTTTCATGGCAAATAATTTCACATTTATCGGTAAGAAGCGTCTTACGTGCTCAAAAACCATTATCTAAGCGTTATAAAACAAATGCGTGCCCTCCCTAAAGAAGTAAAAGTTTATTCGATTCTAAGGCATAATGTATGTGCCTTTTATCAATTATACAGATGAAGACTGTTGTGTCAGTGGCTTTTATCCGGTTCCTTGACTACTATGTTGTATAATATTTAACATTGTTATATGACATGGTGTTGTACAAGTGTATAACCTGATGAAAAATAATTAAGAGTTATCTACACCTAACATGAACCTTCACTTTTTAACTTGTCTACAATCAGCTTTTTTATTCCTCACAAACTTCATTTCTTAACAAAGGCCTACAGTATTTAGTTAACAGGTAGTGGATAGACTTTCTTTACTTATGCATGCAAGCGCAAATTATTGAATCTTGAAGATGATATTCCATGATTCATCTTTTGTCTGCTGTAAAATCCATGTTCTGATATCCAAACTTTTTATATATTATTATAATTATGCTTTCTGCAAAATAAACTTTTCGTATACTACCCTTTTGAATTTGATGTCATAGGGCCATGGGGCTAATAATTGTTGTTGTGTTGTTTTGTTTTAGTTTTTCTAAATAGAGTAAAATAGATGGCCGTTACTGCAATATACATCAAAGTTTGAAAAAGAACGGTCACATGTTCTTAAAGCTGCATGCCTCCAGATGATCCAAATATTTCAAGTAAACCAAACTTGGGGGAACATGTATTAAGATTTTAAGTATAAACGATTCAAGATTAAAGTAATAATTTACAGGTTCGATTAAGATTGCAGTACTTATTACCATATTTCTACTGCGCAACTGCTTGTTTGGACCTCTTTTTGGTAATTTGCGTGGAATGTAAGAGTGAATTACTTTCTTTGTTCACTTCACAGCAGATGTCATTTGATTGGAGATATCTGGCATTCATGACTCACTAACTGACGATATATTGGAGCAAGCTGACTGGCACCTTGTTGTGTCGGCCTCGATTTCATCTTCCGTTAAACTAACGTCCCTTCCGATACACATTTGTTGGTGGTACAATTGTTCTCGTAACAAAACTATCATCTGTAATTAAATTATAAACATTTCATCAATACATAGGCAAATAAGATATATAAACTAGTGAAAATGTCAAAGATCATGTACAATTATATCTTTATGAAAGACACTGATGCTACAATGCAAACAAATTATGAAGATATAATGTATATTGTGTTGAATTTAAGCTGTTAAATTACAAATTCGACTGAAATTACACCATCCAATTTACATTTATTCATCATACCATTTCATCAATAACAAAAATTCCATCAAATTTATACGATTGAATAAATAAAACAATAGCCAGAAAATTTACACCATTAAAGAAATAACACACATTTCATAAAATTTATACCATTGAAAAAATAATACATAATCATTGATTTTATGCTATTGAAATACATACTTGTACATAGTATCATTATTCAATACAAATTTCAATACAAATCTCCACCATACCATTTAACACACATTTCTACCAAAAGTCATACCAAATTTATACCATTAAAACTCATTTCTACCAAAATCATACCATTTAAAGTTTACTTACAGATTGTTTAATTTTTGTGCATCTAGAGGTATGAAAGTTTCATTGCCGGCAATTATGGCTTATATATGCTGAAAGGGACAGTTAACTGTGTCAATATATAATGATTTTATATTGCTTTTATATAAGCACATACACGGCAAGCGGCCAGTTAGTCATTGTATTTTGTTGCTATCAACTAATGATTATGATAGAAAATCCGCTAAACATCGTATGTTTCTTCTATGACGTCATTTAAGTAATTCTTAACGATTATGGACGTCATTCTCGTTAATTTCTGTTGATATCGCTAGGAAAGCCAGACGCCTATATTGTTTTCAAAGGAAAAATGACGGACACGCAGAAATTAGAAAATTAGAGATCAAACAATTTGTTGTAATTTGGGAATGACACCTACAAAAACCTTTTTAAAAAATCAGGAGGCAAACAGAGAAAATACAATTTCGCAATCATTAGTGTTTAAGTGGAACTAGAAAGTTAGTGATGGACATCACTTTGAGAAGCAGTAACGGTCATTGACTGCGTAACGTTGAAGCACATGTTGTACGTTATGTGACGTTGAAGTCAATAACAGTTTGAAGTGAGCCGCTGTCGCCGACATGTGTTTATGTAAAATGAAAATATTGTTGTAATATATGAAGCTACTAACATGATTTTTTTCTGTTTATTTGTTACTCATTCTTCTAAGCTGTGTAATATTTTCAAATCAATATCTCAAATATATTTTAATAAAATCTTTACATAACTGAAGGTTAAAATTCTATTTTTAATTCAAACTTATATAAGTAACACTTGACTGACTTTGTTTACTTCTATGTATGAAATTTGACGATGAATGCAGGATGTGCTTGTGGTAAATTTCCATAAATATGTTCTATGGAAGCGCGTTATGGTGACATTAACAGTGCAAATTGATATAAATACTTAATCGATTTGCTTTTATGAAGCATCATGTGATACATTGTGTTTACAGCGGGAGGCCATGTAGTACAAAACAATCAAAAATTCAATTGAAAAATTCGACAGAAAGAAACACAATTGCGCACAGTAATATTTCTTGA